AAGAAGAAGATGAAGTCCTTTTGTTTTCCTTTTTTCCTCTTTTCCTTTGTTTTAAAACCAAATTAACCCAATAAAGGCCCAACATGACCAAGCCCAAGAGAAAAGGAATCCATCCCATCTTAAAACTAGACCCACCACACGGAGCCTGATAAATATAAATTTAATTAGAGTTTAGAGCCCGATAAATATAAATTTAATTAGAGTTTAATTTTAAAAATAAAAATCTCCTCATTCGATACTAACTAACCTGAGGGACTCGGGGCATTACACGTAACTTGCTGTATTTTTCTGTTTTAGTGCCTAGGTGTGAGATCGACGTAAAACTTAAGGGCGCGGTTGTGAGTAAGTAGACAAGGGGCGTGTGCGTCCGTTAATGTGTGTTGGATGGTTTCTAATGTGCTGGTTTTGTGGTGTTTAATATTGATTTTGATACGCTAGTGTGCTAGGTAACTCTCGTTTGTGTTAATCTGTATACTTGTAGTAGTGTTGAACATTTGTCGGTGATAATGGTGTAATTTCTTCCTTGCTAAACTGCTGAGAATTTTTGTGGGGATGTTTGTTGTCTGAATATGCATGAATTGTTCGGTGTGTTTCATGTGTTTTATTATATCTAGCAATGCTTATTGAATATTGATGTTGGATATTAAGTGTTTTGGGTGAACTGTGTTTGGCTCTAACTGTTTAAAAATTTGCTTAGTTATGCTTTGTTGTGACAAAACTCATTGTGGAGCTGTTGTTAAGAAATGCTATATTGTGAAAGCATTATTGGTTTATTATTAGAATGTTGTTTATGTTGTGGAAGCATGCTGAATTGTGTTTGTGAGTTGAAAGATGCATGGGTCATGGCATAAGAAGCATATAGTAAGACTCTAGTGAGAGTTGGATTCTTGGGGAAAGTGAATGGATGAGTGTTAGGGCCTCGGGTATAAATGGTCGAGGGCTGATACATCACTAATTGAGTATCGAGGCCTTGGATACAAAAGGTCGAGGGTCGATGCACAGTTCGAGGCCTTGACAATAAGGGTCAAAGTAGAACGTCAAGCTTCTATAGAGGAGTGTCGGGGCCTTGGGTACAAAAGATCAAGTGCCGATACGAATCGAAGAGTTAGACTTGGGTTACTAACATAATGCGGTGGGCTAGGGAGAGCTTGGGAGAGCTTGGGAGAGCTAGAGATCAATGGGCCAAAGGGTCGAGGGTCTGTTGGGCTTGATGCTTGGGATGTGTGTGTGTGCATTGATTTTCTACTACTTCCTGTTATTGATGATTACTATTTGTAGTATCGAGATGTTTTACTGCGATGTCAAGCATGCTGTATGTGTGTAGTTAGTGAGGGCTACTTACAGAGTATTCTATATACTCACCCCCTTCTGCAACTTTTGTTTTCAGATGCAGATCGCGTCCTGGGCCATGGTGATGACGTGGAGGAGGCTTGACCGAGAGAGGACCATTTAGGCTACTTTATTGTCACTTAGGATAGTTGGCCTATAGTTGATAGCCAGAGGCATAGGGACTTATTTATAATAATGGACTAATTATTGTGATTTTGACATGATGTAGAATTTTGTTTCCCTTACAGACGCACCATTGTTGTTACTCGTTTGGATTACTCTTTTATCTTGGAATCGTTGGCAAAATAAAGGTTTCTTTTATTTGTAGACTTATTAGCCCACTGAGGGCAAACAATTCACGTTTAGGATTGAATTGAAACAGGGGTTCCTGATTGGTTATCCATCAATTGTTGTTTTATGTTTTCCTGTTAGGAGAGAGTTGAAAACCGGGAGTTTGTTAACGCTACCCCGAGAACGTGTTTGAAATTCGAGGGTATTACACTGAAAATGGCAGGTCACACTTACGAGAAGTTATTAAGTTTGTTAGTAACTCCTTGACCAAACAAAAAATGACTAACTGTTATAGGAATAAGAGTTATTCTGGTGTAATATTTAGTTGAGAATGTCTCAGTTCAGTGAAGGTGTAGTTGATTGCCCCACGGTAGCTGTTGCTCTAAATCATTGAAGCATCGTCGCAAAAATAATCTTGATTGATAGGGTGCATTATTACTTTTTGCTAAAACTAATTGTTTTTTTTAATGGGTAGTGCAAGTGTAACGCCCCGCATTCCCTGACTCGTTTATTCTAAGTTTTAAATTGTGCCTTTGGATTTCTCCCTATTTGGATAATTTAAATTATTGGATCTTCTAATTTCGGAGTTCTAATTTTTGGTAAATTGGAATTAAAGTTTAATTTCATAAGTTTAAGATAAATGAAGTTTTCGACCTGTGCACGAGATTTTTAGTTAAATCTTAAATTCACGGTTTTTAGGATTTTCCTAAATTCTACTTTTTGGATTATTATTCTTGGGTTTTAGAGTTTAAGTTAAATATTTTATTTTGGGTCGTTGTGGGTTTTATTTGATTTCTAAAGTATAATTATTGGGCTTATTGTATTGGGCCGTTGTGTTATTTAGTTGGGCCTCATTTAAGAATGAAGGATTGGGCTTTTAGTTTAAAAAAAGGGTAATTAAAACAAAAAGAAAACCCTAAACCTCCTTCCCTTCTCCCTTTCTTCTTCTTCTTCTTCTTCCTCTATCCACCAGCCGCTGCCCGCCAATTCCACCTCAGCTCCGGCGACAACACTTCGTGGCGGCGCATTGTTCCTTCGACGAGTC